TATGGCCTCCTTACTGCACCAACTCCCTCAGTCTTGATTGGGTGGTGGCTACATGGGTATATTCATATGTAAAAGTTCTTCAAGCTATACATTAAAAATTTGTGCACTGTATTAATGTAAAAGAACTTTAAAAATCAAGGGCCGTCCTCTGTTAATGTAAAAAAAAGCAATAATAATAATAGTGAAGATACTTGTTCATCAGATAGTTATAATCTTATGTATTTTGGCTGCCACCATTTAAATCTCACGGCCCACCATTAGATTGTAAGCAACCTAAGGGCAGAGACCATGTCCTATACTTCATCCACGACTCTGCCCTGTGTAGGGCATGCTCAGCCTGCAGCAGGGAATACTGCCTGATGGGCATAGGGAAGGCAAGGTCTGTGCTGTTGATGACTCACTCCTAGAAAAAGCATCCCACACCAAAGTCACAGATGAAAGAAGATGGCACCTTAAGAGAAAAGCATGCATTTGACCCACAGGACATCAGTCACCTGGCTTATAAAATGAACCCATCTAAAGATAAGTTGTTTTTCAATCCTATAATATCTGGTGTCCTTGAGCTAATATTATTTGTGGCTACTAGAAATCTCTGTTTGGATGTCCATTTATTTAAAAGGAGTAGGAAGAAGACACCATGACATTTTCAATTCTCTGTGTGTGACCACTGGCATTTACAGCTCATCCTTTACTTTCTCTGTTCTCCTGAAAACATGTATCTTCTTACCTCACTGAATCTAAAGACTTTATTTCCTTCTTCAAGACATTATATTCCTAGCAGCCGCACCCCCACCTCACAGCTCCTCCCAAACTCGCTCCTCTGAGCTTGAGAATGGACCCCTGCTTTCTGTTTTCCAATCCAGAGACTTCTATGGGAATTGTGACATGTTCCTTCTAAAGATGTTTTCAGTATCCAGGGCTTTAATTTGAAGGGTGCTTGTCCCTCTGTTTTGGTTATTCAGCAGAACCCCTGCTATATTTTAACGTTCCATTTTCTAACAATGACCTCCAGAATCACAGCAAGGAGTCCTCTTTGCCAAAGGATAATCAAACAAGAGACTATTTTAGTGGTCAATATACAAGATAGATATCAAAATCCTAGCTTTTCCTGTAGATGTGGGGAAAATCAAGGGAAAATGGGGAAAAAAAATCACTCACACCTTGGCCCACCTGAATCCACTATTAGAATAATTCTCAAGAATATAAAGGAGAGCCCACATTAGCCAATAATACCCCTAGTGGTTGATTAACTGTATGTTGATAACAGGGTATGAAGGAGGTTAAGAAATCTGACTTCAGAGGAACAATGCACTAATCTTCTTGCCTATCCGTATAATTGTTGTTATTCTTGTCACCATTATCTTAAAAGCGATACACTCACAGTTCACGGGTTAAGCACCCCTCCCTGGAATAAGTGTTCTGATTTGTGAATCAGTCTTCTGTACTTGTGACTTATCATGTGACCTGTGAATTTATAGACCTGGAATGTTGGAAATCAGAGTGCCAGCAGACATAACCACCAGCAGAGAGTGGAGTGTGCTTGGGCACTTGCCAAGGCTGCCTTCTGGAAGCAGGCAGTTGAGCCACAGGGTCCCCTCAGCCTATGGTGCTGGACTCAGACCCACCCACCAAGACTCAAGGGCAAACGCACTAATCCCTGACTTCTCAACCTTTCCCAGCCTCTACTCTGCACACTTCTCAGTGAACTGCAGTAATTCCCACTGGGAGAGGGGGCGGTGAGGGAGAGTGAGCAGGTCCATACAGCCCCTCCCAAAAGATTCTGAAAAGAGGTAGTCTGCTCTGTGTGGCCACTCCCCAGTCCTCACCCACAGCAGACACTAATATACCAAGAGACAGGGCTCATCAAGAGACATGTGCCAACACCCCCTTTAGGCAGACTCTAACCAGCACATGGGAGTGAGCTCAGCTGAATGGGATGGAATTTTGATGGAGGCTGCCTGAAGTGTTAAGACAGAAAGAGAGGAAGCAATCAAAAAAGCAACTCTGAGGTGCCAATAAGAGACCATGGAAAACATTCAAAACAGAACACTATCTTTAAGGAGATTTGCTAACAGTTTCTTGAATCCAACCAAACAGGATTTTTACAGACTAGCACTGATAATGACGACAACCACCTTTTCTCAAGCTTGGCACACCTCTGATTCTAGAGGTCTACAGCTATTCCAAAGGCTTGACTTCTTCAAATATCAACATAATTTGTTGTGCAATCAAATGCTTTAAAAATATGCCGAATTGAATCCTTGTGCTTATATTAAATCAAAAAGCACCAAGAAAACTTAGTTTTTAAATTTCATTTTAAAAGCTCAACAATATTTGTGTAATTTTAGCCCTAGAGACTACTAAAGTGGATGTCAATAAAGACAGTAAATTATTTGGCTTTGTTTGCTATATGTTATTATAGCTAACAAGGAAAAAAATTTCTACTGCAAGCATCATTAACTACATGATAAAATGCTGAAAGTAATATCTAAATTGCTAGGGCTAATTTACCTTTTCATTAATAATTAAAGGTATATTATTATTAAAACGTGGATTAAAGACTTGCCAAATGTTACCAGGTCCAGACACCAAGAGATTGTATTCATCAAAAAATAATCCTTAATAATCTGGGGTCATGAAATAAAACCTACATCATACCTACTCTTCACATACCCTGAGTTCACAGCCTTCTTTCTGCACCACTCCTTTCCTCAGTTTTCATGCCTCAGCACTTCTTGATTTTGCCTCTTTCCCCTCAGATTTTGCCTTGGGAATTCTGTGAGAGTACTTTCTGCTCTTCCACCTCAAGCAGGAAATTGCTGCTGAGGGAACTTCCTATGAGGGCTAAGCTTTTCCCTGCAATGCACTGGGGGAGGGGGTGTAGTACAAACAGCTTCTGAGAATAGATCCCAGACCTTGGGCTACACAGCCTTGTAACGAGTGAACCTATGGCCCCCTCACTCCTCACACTTGCATTCCAGTTCACAGAGCGATTTCACACACTAGCTGGCAATTCCTAAACCTGCAGTAAAACAAATCAGGGATTCTCCTCAACCATCAATGGGCTATAGTTTTTGCCTTTTGAGGTCAACAGCAGGGATGCAAGGATGTTCCTTAGCTAGGACTAAATCAGCCAGTGAAGAAGGGTCCTCCCTCAAACTCAAACCCTGGAAAACAAAATGCATGAGAAACTGATCTGGAAATCAAGATGAGCTCTGCCAGCGGAAAGAGCTGGGTTCAGAGCCTTCCTCAACTAACTAGCTGTGTGACCTTGAGCAGTTTCCCTAATCTCCTGGAGCCTGTTACTCCCCCGTAAAACGTGGGTAACAAAAGTGACCCTACAAGGTTCTGGGAAGCTTTAGATGAACTGATGTATGCAGCCCAACCAAGGTCTGCTCTATGGTACATGGCAAATATGAAGTCCTTGTGGGAGGCAGTGGTTAAGAGCCTGGGGTGTGATGCCAGTCTATCTTCAAATCTCACTTCTACCATTTAACAACTTAGGACTGTAGATGAATTATGTGACCTTTCTGACTTAGTATCCCCATCATTCAAATGAAGTTTTATTACAACACAAGTAGATAGCCAAAAAAATTAGCCTTTTAATTTAATATAGTATCAGTTGCTCAGTCGTGTCCAACTCTTTGCGACCCCATGGACTATAGCCTGCCAGGCTTCTCTGTCTATGGGATTCTCCAGGCCAGAAAACTGGAGTGGGTTGCCATTTCCTTCTCTAGGGAATCTTCCCAAACCAGGAATCAAACCCAGGTCTTCTGTGCTGTAGGCAGAATCTTCACTGTCTGAGCTTCCAGGGAAGCCTGATTTTTAATTTCATTGTTGAGTAAAAAACAGCTCCTGTTTCCAGATCAATCAACAATGTACTAGTGAATTAAATGAGAATTGAGTATAATGTGCATATTTTTTTAAATCGTGAGGACCTTGCAGGCTTTTATGACTTTTCTGGGCAGGAAAGCTGTGATGCTAAGGGTGGGGCTAAACCATAATACGAAGAAAAAAATTCAAAGAGGGAGAATAACCACCCACCAGGGAACTATTTCTTTTGTAATGTACATTCCATTTCTTCTCCCTCATGCTTTTTAATTCCTTCCACATTTCCTGCCATAATTATCAAATGTTTGGTTTCTGACCTCACTTTTCTGGAGACTAGAGCCCAGGGAATTTAGAATTGTTTATTTTCTGTCCATAAACCTTTGAGTTAATGGAGGGGCTTGTGAGTGAAGGGTTTGTTGGTTTGTTTGTAGTGTTTCAGGAAGGTCACTGGAGTTGAAAAGAAAACATTACCCCCAAAGCGCTGAAATACTTTGACTGGAAACGCGGAGCCCTCAAAGAGCAGAGCAACGGATTGCTCATACTTGCGCAATGTCCAGTTTAGGAAAAAACTGAGATTTATAAAAGGCCGTTATTTGGCTCTGATAGTAACACAAAATCCCAGGGCACTTTACAAAGAATGAAAGAAAAAATCAGAGAATCATAATCTTACTTTATAAAAGAGAAGAAAAAAAAAAATATATATATATATATCCCGCCCTAAAAGAAGAATCTCTTGAGCGCCCCGGACCGCCCCCCTCCTCCCCCAGGAGACAGACTCGGAAGGGAGAAGGCTCCAACTATTCTCAGTTTCCTCTCAAGTGAAGGAAAGAACTCAGGCGCCTTTTTGAACTCGGCTCCTGCTCGTGTCGCCGCCTCTGTCCCAATCGGCCCTGCTCGTCCTCACTCCTCGTCCTCACTCCCCCTCCCCACTCTCCCTCCATATTAGCCTTGGTGGGGCTCCAGCTTACGGCCCAAACTACTTTTCCTGATTTTTAAGGTTTAAGTTTCCTAAGTAGCATTTCTGCTCCGAGCGCCCCCTCACCCAGCGGATGGAAACTCCCAGTCCGACCCGGGGAGAGCATCCCCGGGGACGCACGCACCGCCCGCGCCACGCGCAGACCCCAGTGGCCCCGGCGCCCGAGTTCGGACCTGCTCAGAGGCTCACCTACCTCGGCGTGGACCCAGGCGACCGTCACCAGCGCGAGCGCGAGCCAGCGTCTCCACATCTGCGGAAGAGAGAAGAGCCAGCCTGAAGGCTCCGGGCCCCGTGCCGACCCCGGAAACTTCCTTGGGTCCCGGGGGCTCGCGCCCTCCGCCCGGCCACCCTCGGCCGCTTAGAGGGCTCGCGCCAGTGCGCTCGGCTCCGCGCCACGCACCCCGCTCTCACCATGGTCCCGTCCCGGTCTCCGGAGGGCGCGGGGCAGGCGGCTGCAGCGAGCTCTAAGGGAAGGTGGGAGCTTCGCGGATCGCCAGCCTCAGAGGAAATCCGACCTGGGCTCGCCGCCCCTTAAGACCCCTCCTTCCCCGACAGCCTGCCCCCCAGCTCCTCCCCATTCTCCTCCCCCTTCTGCAGCAGCGGCCCCCGCGGCTCAGGCTCCGCTCCCTCCTCCCAATCCCTAGCTACCTCGAGCCCGCGAGCGTCCGCGCGCCGCTGAGCCCCTTTCCCACCAGGCCCCTAGTTTAGCACCTTTCTGACTCCCGGGACGTGGAGACAGACTGGGGGGTTGCCCTGGGGGGGCCTTGGAACAAAGCGAGTGTGGAAGGGGGAGCCTAAACCCCACCCCCGGGAGGGGCCGGTGGCTTGCGGCAGCTCAGGCTGGCTGCGGGCGCGGGCTGGCTGCGGCGGTGGCCAGGTGGGGCGGTGCTGGGGAGGGCCCCGGCTCTAACGGGCTGCAGGAACCCGGGGGGGGGGGGGAAACCCTGCGGCCTGGGGAGCTGGAGTCGTCCCCTACCGCTGATAGAGGGACCCCTGCAGCCCGTGGTCCGGGGCGTCACTGTCGGCAGAGCACGAGGAAGGGGACTCAGGGCCCAGAAGAGACAGGCCAGCCCGAGGAAAGCTGCTTTGGGTCCAGCTGTGGATTTCCTGGGGGGCCGGGACAGGGGGAAGGGAGATGGAAGCCATCCTCCTCTGCTGACAAGATCCTGATTCCAACCTTTGCCAGCAGCCTCATCCTGTCCTTCCCTTCAGTCCAGGAGCGACCGGTGTCCCCTTGCTCTCCTCCCAGCTTCACCTGTGTCCCTGTTCCCATCCCTGACATCCCAAGTCCTCTCCATGTTCATGCTTCACATCTCCACCAACTTCTACCCAGAGGCTTTCCAATGTGTGCTGCCTCTGTCCGTGCTGACGCCCCAAACTGCTCCCAACCCTAACTTCTTTCCTAGCCTGTGCCCGGGGTCGTCGGTGCCAAGAACAAGTCCACTTGATAGATTTAAGGTGCCCAAGGCTGAGACCTGGGTGTTCATTGGAAGGACTGTTGCTGAAGCTGAAACTCCAATACTTTGGCCACCTGATGCGAAGAGCTGACTCATTGGAAAGACCCTGATGCTGGGAAAGATTGAAGGCAGGAGGAGAAGGGGACGACGGACGATGAGATGGTTGGAAGGCATCACCGACTCGATGGACATGGGTTTGGGTGGACTCTGGGAGTTGGTGATGGACAGGGAGGACTGGCGTGCTGCAGTTCATGGGGTCACAAAGAGTAGGACACGACTGAGCGACTGAACTGAGCTGAACTGAAGGCTGAGACCCACTTCCCGCAAGCTCTGAGCATGCTCATCTACGTCTTTCAGAGTGATGCCTGAAAAAGGTATCTCCACTTCTTGGACCCCAGTTGTAACCATATCCTGGCAGTTTTCCTTTGATATCTCCCTTTCATCCTTTCACCCCAGTTCACATTTCCACTTCCCTAGACCAGACCTTCATCTTCCCTCACTCAGGAATTCTAGAAACCACTTCTGGTTGCCCCTTCAGCTCCTGGTTTTCCTCCCCTGGTCTTCACTGCAGCCCATTGCCATATCATCTCTACATAAACACGGTCTCCCTCATGCTGTTTCCCTGCTCAGAAACTTAAGCACTCTTCCCACATCAGAAACAAAAGTCTTTCTTGTAAGTCATCCATCTAACCTTACAAGCTACTTATATAGGGCTTCCCAGATGGTGCTAGTGGTAAAGAACCTGACTGCCAGTGCAGGAGACACAAGAGACACGGGTTTGATCCCTGGGTCCAGAACGTCCCCTGGAGGAGGGCATGGCAACCATTCCAGTATTCTTGCCTGGATAATCCCATGAATAGTCACAAAACCTACTTATATGTTCTCTACTCAAATCAGGCCATCTTCTCATTGTTTTTTGAACTTGTCATATTCACTGTTTTACCATGATTTGTTGAATGCATACTGTTGCAGTCTTAGGAGTCTTCAGATAACACCCACAAAGCCCATGCAAGTTCAAAATCCATCAAGATAGCTGCAGGAGTCAGACTGGTGGAAAACAAAATGTCAGCTTTGTCGCTGGTAAAAACTGGAATGGTAGCCGTGGCTTTAGATCTGCAGAGATAAAGACCAGCTTGTACTTCAGCCCAGAACTGAACATATCCCACAGTGGAGATGTGGGTTTGATCCCTGGGTTGGAAAGATTCCCCTGGAGAAGGAAATGGCAACCCACTCCAGTATTCTTGCCTGGAAATCCCATTGACAGAGGAACCTGGTCGGCTGCAGTCCGTGGGGTTGCAAAGAGTCAGATACGACTTAGTAGACTAAACAACAACAGCAACAAACACCACCAGTCATAAGCAGAGTTGGAACGTCTGCTTGTAAAAGTTGACGGTAGTTTTACAACTTCTGGAAAAGCAGAAAATACATGCTTCCTGAGGCAGGCCTGCTTTCCAAACCAGAGGTTTCAGAAGGACACAAGGCCAGTTCCTCCTTCAAGCTTACTGGTCAGGCAGTGTACTCCTGCTTCCTCGTTATGGAAGTAGAAGTAGGGAATAGACACCCCCCCCCCCAATAGTTACCCTGTCCCCGTCTCTGCGCTTGGACTGAAGGGCACTATGTTGGACAAGTTTTCCTTCTGCCCTCTAATAGCTCACAATACTTTTCATCCCTGGCATATGCACTGTACTCCCTCAGAGTCTGGCAGGGTGTCCTCTCTGCCTTCCTCCTTTTGTCTGTTAAAATTCTGTCTTTTCCTTTTCTCTTTTTCTTCTGGATCCAAGTAAAATTTCATTGCTTTTTCTAGCATCTTTTCTGGCAATAAATTGACATAGTGGAAAGCACATGAGGTCTAAGGACAGATGAACCTGGCTTTCAATATTACATGGACAGACCATGGGGTCACAAAGAGTCAGACTCGACAGAGTGTCTAGCACATTTTCAGTATTGTTGCTACGTTATACCAGCTGTGTGACTTTGTCAAATTATTGAGCTCCTTGAACCTAGATTTCTGACAAATGGCAGCAATAATGCCTTGCAGAGGCTTGTGGAATTTAAATATGGTGACTCAAGAGTAAGTGCCAGGCAGGTAGCAGACCTCAATAAATGGTAGCCTTTATTATTTTGGTGATGTGCTTTGCTTATGAATTGCAATTATTATATGCCAGATACCAACTACAAGAACCAGGTCTTACTTTATTTTAATACCAAAACAAACTGGAAAATATTTTTTCAAAGCTTCTGCTTTCCAAGTAAGGAAACTGAAACTCAGAAAAATTTGGGTACTGTTCTGAGGTTAATAGTTGATTATATAGGGGCTTCCCAGGTGGCACAGTGGTAAAGTATCCACCTGCCAATGCAGAAGACTCGAGATGAGGGTTATATCCCAGGGTCAGGAAGATCCCCTGGAGGAGGGCATGGCAGCCTACTCCAGTATTCGTGCCTGGAGAATCCCATGGGCAGAGGAGCCTGGCAGGCTGCAGTCCACAGGGTTGCAAAGAGTAGGACACAACTGAAGCGAATGAGCATGCACTCATACATACAGCGTCTAACACTTGTTTGTTTAGTTGTTGGTTTTGATTCTTCAGCTAGATTTTAAATTACTGATGGCATAAACATTGTTTTTCCATGTCTTTATTCTTTCCACATTTGGGGCACAATTGATCAAATTGATTATATAAAAACTAAAGATTCCTGTTAATGAAGGGCACCACAGAAATGTGATAGATGAGAAGATGTTCAATATCTTAAATGGACCTAACTGCAATATGTGACCCCTGAAAATCAATAAGAAAAAGACAACAAACTCAATAGAAAAATGGGCAAAGGGTATGAACAGGAAGTTTCTCAAAAAAGGAATCCTAAATGGCCAATAAATACAGAAAAGATGTTCAAAGTAACAGGTACAATTTAAACTATCCAACAACCTTATAAAATCAGTATTATCTTATTACCTCCATTTTATAGGTAAGGGAACTGAGATACAGAGAGCTTAAGTAACTTGTCCAAAGTTACATAAGAAATAGTAGATATTACTTTATATTCATTGCAGTGGCAAAAATGAGAGAGTTGGACAATGCCAAATTATAGTATGTGCGTAGTGTAGTCTTTCTGATATACTGTAGTGATTAAGAACACGGTTGGTAGTAAATCTTGACTTTGTTACTTACTCAGTGACCTTGGGCAAGTTACCTCTGCTCTCAGTCTCCCCTTTTATAAAATGGGGGTAATAATAGAGCTACTAGGGGAATCATTCAATGGAAGGACCTTGCAGGATACTGATGATAATTCTGTGCTACAAAGTATGGTTAACTTGACACACTATAATAAACACTAAATAAAACAAAATTAATCAAAAATGATAACAAAACAAAAAACCAAAAGAGTTGATAGCTGTATCATGAGGAATTTTTTGGTTGCAGATGATAGAGAAGCCAACTTGACTAAATGGCTTATGCAATTACATAGAATTTATTCACCTACTAGCTAAAAAATCCAGGGGTAAATCTGACTTCAGGAAAGACTTCAGCTGGAGCTCAAATAAGGTCACCAATGATCTAATTTCTTGCCATCTCTCCCCTTTACCTTCAGCAATTTTTTTTTCATCCCTGGATTCCACACAGTGGCTCCTGGGAGCTCCAGTCTATGCTCTCACTGTGGTAACTGGCTGCAGTGCCAGTCTTATCATGCCCTTGGACTACCCCCACCTAGGTGAGTGAGAGAGGCTCTTTGGGGTTCACTTTTTTTTTTTTTTGGACTGTGTTATGGGATCTTAGTTCCCTGACCAGAGATCAAA